AGTAGTTAGTAAGCCTTCCTGATATACTATTTTCAGGGCATCTTCATCATTGTTCTTCAGATATTCTTCCAAAGCCATTTTTTCTTCTTCAACCATCTGATGTACTTGTAGCATTCCACGCCCACCTATTTGCCTTGGTAGATAAAGTCTATCAATGTCACTGCGTGGATGAAGGGCATGATTCATTGTCATTATTTTTCTGGTCTGCCTATCCATTGCTTTTAGTTCTGCTTGAGTCCAGTCCACTATTCCAGCTGTGTACCTAATGACTGGGATTGCCCAGGTGTTGATTGCCTTTATGGTATTTCCTCCATTGAGTTTGGATTTTAAGATCTTCTTCACTCTCTTGATGTATTCACCTCTAATCTTTTTCTTGACTTCAGTGTGCTTGATGTTGTCAGCTTGAAGGATACCCAAGTATTTGTAGTACTCTTCCTCATCCAGACTCTTAATGTTATTTTCGTGGGGCATCTTGATTCCTTCAGTTTTCATTATTTTTCCTTGTTTGATAGTAAGTGTGGCACATTTGTCCAAGCCAAACTCCATTACAATATCTTGGCTATATATACGGACAGTGTTGAGCAGCGATTCTATTTCAGATGATGTTTTTCCATACAGCTTCAGATCATCCATGTAAAGGAGGTGGGATAGTCTAGCAGATGTTTTTGATGTTTGATAGCCATGTCCTGAGTTATTCAGTATTGTTGACAGAGGAAACAGTGCAATAACAAATAGTAATGGTGATAATGAATCTCCTTGAAATATTCCTCTCTTGATATTAACCTCTCCCAGCTCTCACCATTGATCTGCAACTGTGTCTTCCATTGTGCCATCGATCTTTGCACAAATTTTCTGATGTTTCTACTGACTCCTGTTATTTCTAGGCACTTTATTATCCAATCATGTGGCAGAGAGTCAAATGCCTTTTTGTAGTCAATCCATGCTACATTCAGGTTGGTCTTCCTTCTCTTGCAGTTTTCCAAGATCATTTTGTCTATTAGGAGTTGATCTTTTGTTCCTCTGCTGTTGGGGCGGTTTCCTTTCTGCTCAGGTGGAAAGAGATTGTTTTCAACTAGATGCTGTTGCACTGCATCAGCTACTACACCAGTTAGTAATTTGAAAGTTGTTGGTAAGCAGGTAATTGGCCTGTAGTTACCTGGTGTTGCCCCTTTTGCTGGATTTTTCATTATTAGGTAGGTTTTCCCAGTTGTTAGCCACTTTTCAATTTCTCCTCCTTGTAGTATATTGTTGAACTGTTTGGCAATGAGTGGGTGTATAACAGTTAGATGTTTCAACCAAAACCCATGCAGTTCATCTTCACCTGGTGCTGACCAATTTTTGATTTTCTTTGCTCTTTTTTCTACCATTTTTGTTGTTATTGCTAGTTCTTTCATTTCAACTTCTGTTTTATTTGCATCCACCTCTTTTAACCAAGCCGCATCCTTATTGTATTTCTTTGGGTTATCCCATATCTGCTTCCAGAACTGTACTGTTTCTTCCTTGTCAGGTACTGACTGATTCCTTGCAGTTTCTCCATTGATGGATTGGTAGAAACGTTTCTGATTGGATTGAAATTGGAGGTTCTGCCTATAGTTTGCAATTCGAGCTTCATATCTACTGATTTTCCTGGCTATAGCTGTTATTTGTTGCTTTATTATTTCCAGTGCTTCCTTGATCTTCCTTGTTTCTAAGTGGTATTTCTTGATTAGGTATTCTTTGGTCTTCTTGTTCTTCAGCTTCTTTTCTTTCATCTGTTCTAGCTTGCTTGCATGTGATCTTAATTTGCTGATCTTATTTTCTAGTCTAACCTTCCATTTTTCTGGTGCACTGTTTGTTTGTTTTTCTTCTTTGTTGATTTTGCATCCCAGGTATTCTGTTATAACTGCAGCTGTGCTGTACATTAGTTGGTTTGTTTCTTGCAGTGAATTGGTGCTTATACTTGATATTGCAGTATTTGCATCTTTTAATGCTTGTGCTAGCTGTTTCTTTGGAACAAGCTTCAATGCAGGTAGCCTTATTCTGTTGTTTTTGTGCTGTTCTAGATGCTCAGTTATTCTTTGTTTCAATTCTTTTATTTCTTTAGTTAGAGGGTTTTGTTCTTCCTGAGGTAGAGGTGCCTGGTTTCCAAATGAGAACAGTTGTATATCTCTGCTAGATTCCTTCACTGCCAACTCCCCCTGGTTTGCCTCTACATTCTGAATTACTTCTGGTAAGGCTTTGATTTCTTTGCCCTGGGTAAACCTTTGCAGTTCGTCCAATTCTGTTTCTGTGAATACTTTATTTCGTGTTATAAATCGGCGTTGATCTGCTAGTCTCTGTTCTGTTATTTCTGATTCTGGATGTTGTTCTTTCCAGAACTGGTGCATTCGTTTTAGATATCCTCTTCTTGTTGGACTTGATCTGTAGTAACAGATCATTATTTCTTTGTTTTCCATCACTGTGTATCTGCGACGGGTAAACACCTTTTCTTCCAGTAGTTCTGCAGCTGCTGGCCCTGGTTGCTCAGCCAACAGTCCTGAGTCCTGTAACCCATTTTTCACCAGATATCCAGGAACTCCAATATCTAGTGTGGGACCTTGTTAACCCGGGCGACGTCCGAGCCGGTATGGCATTCTGAAATTTACGTCTCACCATATTTTTTATGGGAGAGACACTCTTTGTCTGACTCCTCTGATGAGACCTGTCCAGTATGGTTGAACCTCTGGCATAGCTCTCATCTTCCTCAGAGTACACAAGCCCCACAACCACGTCAAGGTAGTGCCTCACTGGGGGATTATTATTATTATTATTATTATTATTATTATTATTATTATTATTACCCAGTTGGGCAATGAAACGTCTGTGAGAAAACAACCGAGCTCAGAGAGCACCAAGGACCTTTCCCTTCAGTATTTTATTTTAATAATCAAGAATAAGCATAGGAAATTCTTTATTCCAAATTAAATTTGGAATTTATTTTTCTCATTGTCTCAGCTATTCTTTAATCTTAATACAAATCCATGATTCACCAAGACTGGAAACTATGGAAAATACATCGTGACAATAGATTGCTAATCAGCATCTCTGCTAAGCTATCAACTGACAACCAAGTACCTAGGCAAGAATAATTAATCAGACAAATACCCTGTTCAGTCACATTTCCCTGTATCCACAAATAGGGTGCCCAGACACCATCTATACAATGAAAGGCAAGTCAGCAAACATCAGGAAAGACAATTAAAATTGACCTGGTGACAGAGCCGTAAATTAGAACCAACACATAAGCAACCCATGCTTCCCCAAGCCCAAAGGACTAGTCCCACTATAAAAAGTTTTGGAACTCCATTTTTCTCTGTAATCCCCAAAAACAAACCCCTTGTAATGGGGAAATAAACAGATCAACTTCTAGCAGTGTGCCTTGTGTCTTATTTGCCTGCATTCTCCCATTTTGGAGAAAGGAATCCAGGGAAATTCTTTCAATACTTAACATCTGGCAAAAACCTGCTTACCACCAACTTTCAAATTGCAAAGTTGTGTAGTAGCCAATGCAGTCAAACAAGTGAAAACAAGCTTCTTCCAACTGAGCAGAAATTTTCGCTGCATAAAACCAAACCTTAAGAATGAACGCATACAGAATGCAGTAGTTATGTGCACTCCTAGAATGGTGCATATTACACTTTTGTTCTACAAGCTTCTCAAGGCTCCAAGGTGTTGGTTTTGATTTCTAAAGCCTTCATAGCATGGTAGCAGGTTATCTGAAAGTCGTCTCTCCTCAGGTACATTAGTGCACTCCATTAGATCTGCCAGAGAATGCATGCTAGAATACCATCAGCTAGGGACCTATATTTGGTGGATCCCAGGAGACAAACAGTACCTTTGATATGTTGCTTGCTTTCTGGAATGTTCTTCCCCCCCCCCCCCCCAAAAAAACTATATTATCTGTATCCTTTTGATATTTCAGAAAACCCTCAAGATCTGGTTATATTACGCGTGGGGCTCCTAGAAAACCGGAGAGATGCTTAGATGGTTCTCTTACTGAGCTGGTCATTTTTGTTCCCTCTTCACCTAGAATTTGTATCTCTGTGACTGTTAATGTGATTTTTATATTTTTTTTTATACCTGTGGCTTTTAATATGTGGTTTTACCCATTGCTTATTCATCATACAGAATCACCTTTGGCGAGTTGGGTAGCCATGTAAACTTGATTAATAAAAAATTATAAAATGTGCATTTTATGTATATATTCTTTATGGTTGAATATTGGGTTCCAAAGGAAAAGATTTATTAAATATCTATATGGGAATTGCTAATAACCAACATTCAGTGCCTTTTGTTATTTAGGTCCCTGTATACTGTCTTTATGTGACAGCTTAACGTTTTAGGCTTATTTCTCATAAATGGCAACATCTACATAATTGATGCTAAAGTTGACAAGATCATGTTTTCTTTCCTAATATAAGTACCTGTTTCTTCTTAAGGCAGCTAAACTTACAACTGAATAATATATGTGAATCATAGCAGTCATGAAAATATTGGCCACTTATCCATAACAGTAGTCTCCAAGTGACCATAGAAGCATGAATGTTGTTTTCTACCAAGTATTGTACCTTTTCTTTGATATGTTCAAAAAAATGGCTACATTTGGTAGAATTCCTGAGAATAACAGTTCTGTGTAATTATGGTTTATTATCAGAAAAGGATATTTCTGTTCCAAAGCTCAGCTCCTTAACATTCTGAATGGGAATCTGCAGAGATAACAGAACCTGGTTACATGAATTCACATGTGACTGCTAAAAATAGTCTGGAGTTACAGGTAAGCAGCCTGTTTTTCCAAGTTGTAGACAGATAGAATAGATGCTGCCAACCCCTCCCTCCCCAAAGAAACAAACAACAAACCATTGAGGAAAAGAAAAAAGAAAGTATTGTCATGTATGTTATTTGCTAGCAATTTTACAATCAAGTTTTTATACTGTGTCAGCAATCAAAAGGAGTTGGACATTTTATTTTCTATATTTATTTAGAAATGGAGTGGAGAGATGATTTTTCTCTTGATTCTTTGCACTTGGATTGTTTGCTAAGCACATTTCCTGGAAATCTGGAGGTTCAACAGGTACTTGGTGACATTGATGAGAAACTAAAGAAAAATACTTCATGGTAAGCTGTTTTATTTTTTCAATATTGTATACAATCCAGTAACAAGATATCCGAATGGTTTTCAATTACTGTATTTATATAATTCTTCTATCAGTATATAGTCTGACTAATAAGGTGCTGCTTATTCATTTATGAATTTTACAAAACAGTTCAGAAAAGTTGTTTGCTATATGGAAGAACACAAATGATACATCTCTTTTCAAATTGTTAGAACAGTCAAATTTGTGCAAGGCTTACATGGCTACTTTAGAAGCTTTTCCTGGCTATCTTTGCAGAGGTGTGCAAGCATAGTCTTTTTAATTCAAGTCAGAGTAGTTTCTGAAGCATGACAGATTAGCACAGCTGTCACAGCCAAGTAAGGTAGTAGTACACAAGCATTATAATTAACTTTATTTATTTGAAATATGGGTACTGCATTTTCTGACCCTCTGGAATGAAATAAGCCCTGGGTATGGTAATAATATGGTGATGCTATTCTAACCCATACTACCTTTATATGCAAATACTTACTTATAATATTCCTAAACAAACTTCACTTACATTGGTTTCCTCCAACTAATGGCCAAATTACATTCTGGGAGTTGAAATCCAGACATTTTGAAGGTGCCCAAGTGGGAATACAGCTAGATGCTTTGAAAATTATAAAGTGATGACATTAGTTTTGTTTTATGACAAATTAAGTAACAGAATTATAGGGTGACATAAAACGTTGACATTCTGCAGAAAATAGATAATATATTATACTAAAAATAGTGGAAATACTTCTTTTTCTTTTTGATTTAGTGTGGATCAATGCCTTAAGGAACTAAAACTGGAATTAAATGAAACTTGTTCTGATGAGTTGCTGCAGGACACAAGTTACCATCATTGGCTAAATAACCATGATTTCAGCTCAACCAAATTTTCTTCAACCCATCAAGGAGAATTAATCAAGTTCCTCCAAACATTGGTGAAAATGCTACTTTTTATGCTATGATAGATAATAGTTTTATTGCACTGTTGTTCTTCTTTTGGAATTTAGTTGCTATTTGCTAATGTAAAATGCAGTTAAATTTAAAAATTGCAGTATTTCGTATGTTTCACAAAACACTGAATTTTGGATAATAATGTCTGGTTTACAAGGTTTTCAACCTTACGGGCACATTTTAGAGTAGTGTAGATTTTTCAGTTCAGTACTTATGTCTTGAGAGTAGATCAACAGAGTTTGATACAATCAGTTGCATCCAGGCTGCACATATATTAAACCTGTTCTTAGATAAGATTAAATTTGTAATTAGTTAAGAACATAATGCTAATGATACTTAAACTTGTATGGACAAATGACCTGTTTCACTGGCTTCATATAGAGATAAATAGGAATGAGGAACAGAGTTGAGCCTGGGGGGGCCTTGTAAATCAGGCAACTTATGGCTAGATTTCCCCCCACACACACTAGAATTAACTTCGGAGAAAGGACGAGAACCTGTGAAACATAATGCTCCTCATTCCCAACCCTCTAAGCCAGTTCAGAATTATGCTTTAGTTGATGGCATTGAAAGAAATCATTAAATCACCACCAGAGCTCATCCACAATGGCAGTTTACAGTAATCCAGTAAAACATATTGCTCATTAAAATGTCCACAGTAAACATTATTAAAGTAAAAAAATGTATGCAATGTAGAATAATAATAATAATGAAAAAACAACTAATCAATACAAGAAAAATGCAGCATATCAGTTAAATTGAAGTTTAAAAAAGTGACAACCTGTAACCCAATACTCCATGGACAACTTTGATCTTAATTAGCTTTCAGAATATTATTTATTATATTTTTATCTACCCTTATTACTTTATAAGTAACTCAAGGTAGTAAATATTCCTAGTATTCCTTCCTCCTCCGATTTTTTCCACAACAACAATGCTGGGAGGTGAGTTGAATTGAGAGAGAAAGACTGGCCCAAAGGTACCAGCTGGCATTCCTACCTAAGGTTGAACTAGAACTCACAGTCTGCTGGTTTCTAGGCCAGTACCTTAACCACTACCCCCCAAAAGCTTTAAGAAGGATGGCATAGGTCTTAGTTCCCAGGAGAGGATATTCCATAAAGCCAAAGCACTAGTTAAAAAACATTGCCTCCTGGGTGCCATTCTCCTTATCTCAGAAAGGTGCCATACAACTCAAAGTTCTCATGAAAAGAACATACCAGATGAGCTGATTTAGATAGATGAGAGGAATTTGTTTTTGTTACAAACATGCACTGAAAAGACCTGGAAGTTTTTAATATGGAATGCAAATATATATATATACTTAGAAGTTCGTTTAAACTGGCAAAATAAAAATGAAATGTATATATTTAAAAAAAGTCTAGATTTTAAGAGATAATGAAACTTTATTTTGAAGATAAATATTATTTACTTTAAATAATTATTCATGTAAGTTGATACCTTACATATATCATTTGTCATTTATCCTTTCAAGCAAAGATTACTGAAGAATGAACAAAATCAAGAAGAAACAATTCTTCACTTTCTCCTTGAACTCTCCAATCAGTGTGGTGTCTTATTTCCCTGCACTCCAAGTGGAGCATCTTTTGAATTCATATCCAGTAATTCCATTCATGGTATTGAAGATAATACAGCAGTAGATGTTTGCTGTATTTGGGATGATATAAGATTACATCTTCGACGCCACTTAGTACATCAATTGCAGAATAATCAAGAAACAAAAACTGGTACTTTACAACATCAGCTGCAATTTAAAACTCAATGCCTGCAGCATTTCTTATTTCTTTATCCTGAATCTGAAGTTCTAGTCAAGTATCAAAAAATGCAGAATAAATTGGTTAGTAATCTTTTGCAGAAATATGCTCAGGATAAGAGTGATGAAATGACTTTTGAAAAGATTGTTCATAATTACAAAAGTTCAATGCCTGCCTTCTGTGCAATGATAAAAGAAGATTTGTACATACTAAGTGGAATTACTGATTCTTCTTCTCTACTGAAATTTATTAATGAAACTTATTTGGATACCTTTACTGAAGAAACCACTATTGTTTTTCACATGCTTCGTGAGCTTCAACTTAAAGAAAGGGCACTACATGCTATAAAGACAAGCAAAAACTCAAAGAAAAACAGAGGAATGGTTCAAGTTGGGGGTTAGTGGCATTTTCTTTATGTTCATTAATTGTTTTTATTATTTCTGATACAAATTTTAACTGATTCAGCAAAAGATTTAAGTGCAAGAATGTAATTAATGTCAGGTTATATATAGTATACTGCCATATATACCAATAATAATAATAATAATAATAATAATAATAATAATAATAATAATAATAATAATAATAATAATAATGTTGGAAGGGACCTTGGAGGTCATCTAGTCCAACCCCCTGCTCAGGCAGGAAACCCTATACCATTTCGGACAAATGGCTGTCCAGTCTCTTCTTAAAAACTTCCGTTGGAGTATTCACCACTTCTGGAGGCAGGTTGTTCCACTGGTTAATTGTTCTAACTGTCAGGAAGTTTCTCCTTAGTTCTAGGTTGCTTCTCTCCTTGATCAGCTTCCACCCATTGCTTCTTGTCCTGCCTTCAGGCGCTTTGGAAAATAGGTTGACTCCCTCTTCTTTGTGGCAGTCCTAACTTCAGGATTACACTTCTCCCCAACCCTGGAAAGTTTAAGCAGGATAATCTTGCTTGTCTCCAATAACAAAAAAGAAACAACTTTCCCATTTTAAAGGTAAATTTAGTGTGGAGGTTGGGGAATTAGCTTTTATTTTAAGTACAGTGCATTTATTATCTTCAAAAATTGTATAGATTGACAGAAGTCTAATTTCTGTATTCTCTAACTGCCATAAATGTATAAGAAGACTGGGCTTATTTTGTTTTTTATCCAATAATTATATCCAGATTGAAGTAACATATTTATTAAAATTATAATAGGTAATTATTTATATGGATTATATTAATCTTAAACTACAACATTCATCATATTGTTTGAGCATACCTAATTTGAAAAGAGTCATATGCATTTGAAATAAAAATAGAAATCTATTTCTGAAAACTGGAGACATTGCTCAATATTGTTAAAATGATTAGCATTTCTTATTTAATTGCCAAAGTAATATAAACCCTTATCAAATTATCTTATTAATTGTATAATAAGAACAGAACATGGGCTGCATAAATGGCCTGTCTCAGATTTTTATTTTTACTGCTGTCCTGCTGTTTCAAATTCCAATCTCTGTTACCACAATTGTATAATGGAAATGGCATGTGTAGAAATGCTGCTTGAGTATCCTTATCCCAGCACAATTGGGATCTGGCAGCTTACCAGAAAACTGGTTAGTTTGTTGACAGTCTTAGTGGGGTAGATAATGCAACATATTGTTTTCTTCATTTCAATCATGCATTCTACCACATCTTGCTGACTGGCAGAGGAGACAGATTGGAGCACAGGGAAGGGAGGTACAAATTTTCCTCTTTCTGTATGGTGAGCTGTAGGCACAGATAAAGAAAGGAAAAAAGACACATCAGCTATTTTTAGATGGGAGGATATTACTTTAAATGAATATTCAGTTGGTGCTGTTATCATATAAATGAAAAGTTTTGAGTACATCATCTGTAATAATCCTAATATGTGAAATAAATCGGCAGAGGATACTTCTAGAACTTTATAAGGAAAAATGGGTTCTGTTTCTAAAAAAATAAAAGTTATAAATCAAAGTAAAATAACCTTTTCAAATATATTTTATATAAGTAAATACTATTGAGTTGCAATACTTTTTGACTTGTTTGTGAATTTATCTTACTGGAAAAAATAAATGAGAAATATAATCCTCTTTGTATTATAATTGTACGGAAGAAAAGTTTACAATCACTTCAGTTTGATTTTTTTTGGGGGGGGGGTAGGGAGAGATTTTAAGTGACTAGACATTTGCATGTATGTGTATCCTTGAGTTGTTCCTTTGAAGCAATATGGGGAGATACTGCCAGACATAAGGTATATTCTTATAAATGGTACTTACCTATGAGCATGGATTTATAACACTTAATGATACATGATGGCTTAATTTGAACATAATCTATATTTAGGGATACAGCCAAAACATACATCCTAATATAATAAACTAATGGCAGACTACATTATGGTCTCATTCTGCAGAAACAATACTATAATAATTTGGAATATCAATTATTTTCCCCTTGCCTATTTCAATCAAGAATCAATAAAACCATTAAGCATATATGATAATGATCATAGTTGAATTTACTGGATAGGAGGAGTAAGGGGAAAATAAAAATAAAAATCATAAAGTTATCCAAACTTAACCATAACTTGAATCACCTTATTTTAGCATATTCAGCATATTATGTTTAATAGTATTAAAATAATGAATGAACTGCATCTTGGGATTGGTTCAGAGTAAACTGATGAATAAACAGGAAAGATGAAAGCATAAAATTTAGGAATTAAAACAGAGGAGCCCTGTGATGATAATCACTCCAAAGAGTGGAAATGCTATGGTTGGTTACATGGTCAGTCAAATATTTAGACTGAATTTGGCATTTTTATCCACCCATTTCTCCAATTCTTTCTCTTCTATTCACTTGTCTCCATGTAATGCAATGTACAGACCTTTTGTTTTTCTTATTGACAGTTGTTAAGTATGAAGTGTCAGGTGTTAGGTGCTTGTCTGTTTGAAGTCCCAGAGCACTTTAGCTTCTTCATTTTCTATTACTTTGTAGTCCCACCAATTCTTGCTTGCAGACAAATGATATTTCTTGCAGACATTCCAATACACCTTTGTCATACCATAGTTTGTAGTCAGTCTGGGCAACCTTCTTGCAGCAGCTAACCAGGTGGTCCACTGTTTCTTCAGCTTCTTCGCATAGGTAGCACTTACTGTCTGTTGCTGTTTTCTCAATTCTGGCTTTGTATATTTATTCTTGAGGCTTAGTCATGTGCAGACAGAACTAGCCCATTCTGTCTCCTCCTCCTTTCTTTAAGTTTCTTGCTTTTAACCGTTGTCAGATCATGTTATTATCTGTTTTCCGTGATATTTTTTTAATGTGCAGCCATGCAGTGCTTTCTCTTCCCATGGATCTTTTTTGTTCTTCATTTGGTGTTTCTCCTAGGTCAGTTTGGTCTCAAATACTCAGTAAGCATTCCTGGCATACTAGCTTTAGTATATATTCTTCACTATCCTTCAGATATTCTTCCTTTGCCCTTTTTTCTTCTTCAGTTGTCTGATGCACTTGCAACATTCCATGCCCACTATTTTCCTTGGTAAATGTGAGCATCGCTATGAGGATGAAGGGTGTGATTCAATGTTTCTGGTCTTCCTATCCAGGGCCTTCAGTTCTGCTCGAGTCCAGTCCACTATTCCAGCTGTGTATCTAATGGCTGAAATTGCCCAGGTATTAAGAAAGAATATTTACATATTTTGAGAGAGCTTCCAGAACTGTAACTGTCCTTGAAGTTTTAAGTGATTACAATGTCCAAGAGTGCATATTATCACTATGCCCTTTCCTGGAAACTACAGCTACAGTTATCCATGCATTGTTAGGTTACACTAGCTAGTATAATGTCTTCTATGGGAACTACTTTTCCACTTGGTACAGAAGGTGCAAATGAGGTAGACTGTGGTACCTAGATTGCCAACAGGACATTTAGCTATCCTGAAGCGACACTTCCTTTGAAACAAATGCAGTGGCCAATTGGCTATCGAGCCAGATTTGGTTGAACAGACTATATAATTGACTTTCTTCTCCATTGCAATCTGGTTAATTACTAAGAACATTAGGGAATGTGCCAAGAGTTGCACAATGCCACCTGGTGGTTACGTATAAATGGGTCTTTCCCATAGCAGCACCTTGATTCTGGAAGGCTTTTTCCTCTGAAATTGCTGAAGTGCCTATTATATCTTTAGATACCTGTTGAAAATCTGTACAGGCCTTTCTTATATGGATGGTGGGTGAGTGGATCTGTTGTTAGCTTTTTTGTCAACTTTTTAATCATTATGGTTTATATTGCTTTATTATTGTATGTTATATTTTCAAAATAGCGTACAGATGTATTTGCATAGGAAGCAGTATAAAAAAGGTGCAATAAAGAATGAAACAAAAACTTCAAGGTCTTAACAAACTAAAAAGATTACAAATATTTTTTTTTGATTACGTGACTTAAACTTTGAGAAAGAATTAAGGGTAGTGCCCAATCTTTCATTATGTCAATGGAAAATTTCTGTTACTTTATTAGAAAGGAAAGAAGAGTTATTCCTCCCTCACCTTAGAAACTGACATATGCTTTGAAAATGAGAAGTGGAGATTTTATAGACTCTTATGAACAGAATTATGTTTCTGTTTCATTATGTTCATATGGTTGAAATGCTTGCTTTTTTCAACTTAGAAGGTAAAATGTTTTCAAACTATTTTTGCTAAAAGAATTTTGAGGCTGATGCTATGAATATCTTAGTATTCAAATCACTTATTAATGCTATTATATGAAAGAGTAATCTTATTACTGTATTTAGGACATCATTATTTTTGGATAGGTTTACTTCATTAAAAAAAGTTACACATGGTTTATATGTCTTATGTTTAAAATTGTATTATAATTTTATTTTTTTTTTTCATGTATATTGTCCAATAATATTTTGTTAAATGTAAAAATTAATTTGCTAGGAAGATTTTGCAAACAAAACAAAATTTGGTCATTTTATCTAAATTTTTCCATTTAGAAACACTGTTTTCATCTCAAAGCCTCTTTTGCACACCTGGGTGTTCTTCCTATGGTTAGGGGAAAAAAGGTAACTCACCATGCCCCCTAATTATTGCATTTTCCTCCCAAGCTTAAAGGATAAAAATGATTTAATCTTTGGTATGATTTCTCTTGTGCGGTCTGAATTCAATGAGAGATTTATGTATTAGAGTACCTTCTTTAATAAAAAGGAGTGTGATAAAGAAGTTGAGAGAGAATTATTAAGTTACATTTTCTTAAAAACATACTGTAGTGTGTAAAGGAAACCATACATGCTTATGAGACTTAAAAGAAGAAGGACTTCTAAAAGCTGTCTTGAAGAGGTTCCTAAGGCACTTACACTATTGTTTGAGAAAAAAAAATGTTACATGCCTGTTTATTAGACTCTTTTCA